CAGATTGTTTCAAGGCTTTAATATAGATTTTATTCTGCTGTTCAAACCCTTCCATCTTTTGATCAAATGAGATTTTGTTTTTCTGTTATTTGCAGTTTTCGTTTAGTTCTTTTCTTGTATATAGTTCTCTTTAGGCCAGTTCTAGTGACGTGACATGCATGCGGAGTTTTTAGCCAGATCTTGAAAGCCAACTTAATCATGGAACAATGAAACATAGTTTTGAATATGATAAAAAGATGCATTTGAGGAAACAAATAAAGATTCACGTATTCTGAGATAACCTGAAGCTTGAATTGAGTGAAACTGAGGCAGTTAGTCTAGGAAATCAAGAGGTTGATAAGAGCATACAGCAAGGAAATGTCTCTCAAACAGTTTGAGGTAGATCAGTCAGTGTTGAGATGCATTCTTCCACATCAAGCTGAAGCTAAAGGCAAGTTCGCCCCAAACTGGCAGTGGCCGTTCATCGTGACAAGAGTGTTGCCCAATGGTGCTTTGTATTTAACTGATACAGAAGGCAAATGTATAGATATTGCTATCAATTTTGATGCAGTCAAGAGATATTATGTATGATTTCTTTGTTTGTCTTCAATAGCGTTGTATGTATTTGGCATATTTCAGAGATTGGAATGACGAAGGCATTTTATTCTGCTACCCAAACACTTTTATCCTTTGTTACCCCTTTTGAGCCTTATTTGTTTTCTTTCATACCCCTCTTTGGGAATCAGGCGTAAAATAAAAATGGAAAAGGAAAAGGAAAAGAAAAGAAAAACCAAAGTGAGAAAAAGAAAAGAAAAAAAGAGAAAAACATGAAGAAAAGGAAAAGAAAAGAAATAAAGAGGTCGAAGAAACGAAAAGCAAAAGAAAAGTAACAAAAAAAAACAAAACAACTTTTATTAGCATGAACTACGTTCGACCTGATTCTTTTTAAGGATACGTAGGCAGCCTTACACGGTTCGTTCCCATCAAAATAAAAATCCAAAATTCCCCTGACACAAAGAAATTGGGGCAGAAGTTTTGGTTTTGCAGAAGATCTAATTCCAAAAGTTGTAATTTTGAACTCCTTTCATTTTAAGCTGTTTTGAGCCTGCATGTCGCCTTTTCTCTCTAACCCCGTCCAAAAGCCTAAACCACGGTCCAAATAAAGACCTTCCGATCAATCTTTGAGGAATGCCAAGTCAAGCGAGATACATGTATGATTCACATCATGGGTAACACTTTGTTCATGGGCACAAAGAAAGATGAATAAAATGAGAAAGTCTTATTGGTGAAAACCCTCACGGGCATCGTAAGGCGATAGAGAGCTGACAAAGAATTTAAAATGAGAGAGTCTTATTGGTGAAAACCCTCGCGGGCATCGTAAGGCGACGGTGAGTTGAAAGATGAACAAATGAGAGAGATTTGCTGGTGAAAACCCTTCGAGGCACAACAATCCGAATGCGGTTCGTGACTTTGCAGAGAGATTGGATTATAGAAATCCCGATTTTTGAAGTATGAAGACGGGGCAGGAACTGAAATGTGATTAGTTGAATGGTTTGGGCTGATCAATCTGAAATGCATGTCATGATCATTGGAGCCAGTTGCTTCACTCAAATAAGTCTCTTTTCCATTCTTCTTCAAATAGTCATCTTTGTTCAAAATTTTCCTCTTTATTCCTAATTCTCGAAGTCACTTTGCTTCATTTTCTTTGGGTCTATTTCTCTCTGTCTTTTTCAATATTAGCCTTGTTAAACAAGCAAGAAAGGATTTAAAAGCCTTTTACCAGCTTTTAATTGCACAAAGCAAAGTTCAGCCATAGCACATCACAAGTGGCATGATTCATAATGAGCAATAAGGTTCAAGTGGTCAAGTGATTCGTGAATTTTGAGGAAATGCAAAGGTTCAACACAGGATAGAGATGTCATACAACAAGTTGAGTGTAAGCGACTTGGATCATTCAAGGTTTTGTGGTTGAGGTTTGATCAGAAGGTCAAACAATTCTTTGCTAGCCCAAAGCAGTTAATCGGAACAAAGTAGGGCAATGGCAAAAGCAGACACCTTCAGCAAGGATGCCACAAACTAACCACCAAACTTTCAAACTGACAAGATTTTCTTTGTTTGAAATAGGGGCAGGAAATTTTGTTTGCTCTGCAGGAATCCTTCATGAGGAAGGCATGTTCTAGATAAGTTCAGTTTCAAGCTCTCAGGATCCTCCTGGATAATGGGATTTAATTTCAAGTTCTCAGGACCTTCCTGGATAATGGGATTTAATTTCAAATTCTCAGGACCCTATTTAATTGCAAGTTCTCAGGACCCTCCTGGATAATGGGATTTAATTGCAAGTTCAGGACCCTCCTGGTTAATGGGATTTAGTTTCAAGTTCTCAGGACCCTCCTGGATAATGGGATTTAATTCAAGTTCTCAGGACCCTCCTGGATAATGGGATTTAATTTCAAGTTCTCAGAACCCTCCTGGATAATGGGATTTAATTTCAAATTCTCAGGACCCTTCTGGATTATGGGATTTAATTTCAAGTTCTCAGGACCCTCCTGGATAATGAGATTTAGTTTCAAGTTCTCAGGACCCTCCTGGATAATGGGATTTAATTGCAAGTTCTCAGGACCCTCCAAGATAATGGATTTTATTGCAAGTTCTCTAGACCCTCCTGGATAATGGGATTTAATTTCAAGTTCTCAGGACCCTCCTGGATAATGGGATTTAATTTCAAGTTCTCAGGACCCTCCTGGATAATGGGATTTAATTTCAAGTTCTCAGGACCCTATTTAATTGCAAGTTCTCAGGACACTCCTGGATAATGGGATTTAATTGCAAGTTCTCAGGACCCTCCTGGATAATGGAATTTAATTTCAAGTTCTCAGGACCCTCTTGGATAATGGGATTTAATTTCAAGTTCTCAGGGCCCTCCTAGATAATTGGATTTAATTTCAAGTTCTCAGGACCCTCCTGGATAGTGAGATTTAATTTCAAGTTTTCAGGACCCTCTTGGATAATGGGATTTAGTTTCAAGTTTTTTCAGGACCCTCATGGATAATGGGATTTAGTTTTAAGTTTTTAGGACCCTCCTAGATAATGAGATTTAGCGTAAGTTTTACCTTTAGGAAATAGAATTTAGCTTTCAAGTTTTCACTCTTAAGATGAGATTTAATTTTAGTTTTCAGGATCCTCCTAGATAATTGGATTTAGCTTTTAAATTCTTACAATTTTTTTTGGATAACAGGATTTGATTAACACTCACAGATGTTCCCGGTACTAAACTGGGGCAGAAAAGTTTCTTTTTGTTTTGTCTTTTTGTTGTATTGGCAGGCACCCACCCGGAGAATGAGGGAATTATTTCAAAGTTCAAGTTATTGGCAGGTGCCCACCTGGAGAATGAGGGAATTATTTTAAAGTTCAAGTTATTGGCAGGTGCCCACCTGGAGAACGAGGGAATTTATTTCAAGATTAAGCTATGGGCAGGCACCCACCTGGATAATAAGGGAATTCATTTCAAGTGTTAAGTCAGAAGCAGGCACCCACCTAGAGAATGAGGGAATTATTTCAAAGTTCAAGTCATTGGCAGGCGCCCACCTGGAGAATGAGGGAATTTATTTCAAATTTTAACTCAGGCAGGCGCCCACCTGGAGAACGAGGGAATTCATTTCAAGTTTAAGTCAGAAGCAGGCACCCACCTGGAGAACGAGGGAATTCATTTCAAGTTTAAGTCAGAAGAAAGCACCCACCTGGAGAACGAGGAAATCCATTTCAAGTTTAAGCTAGAAGCAGGCACCCACCTGGAGAACGAGGGAATTCATTTCGAGTTTAAGTGAGTTGCAGGCACCCACCTGGAGAACGAGGGAATTCGTTTCGGAATTATTTCAAGTTAGTAGCAGGCGCCTACCTGGAGAACAAGGAAAGTGATTTCAGAATTCAATTCAAGTTAGAGGTAGTAGAAACTCGCGGCAAGAATGCGAGTCAATAGCCCGAGATGACCAATAGAAGTAGTCTCATTCCAAAATAAAAGAAAAGATAAAAAAAGAAGTGAATCCAAAATGTAGAAGCAGAGAAAGATGTGAACTACTCAAGACGTGGCTGAAGTCATGAGCAAGATGTGTCCGGTTTTGATCCGAAGAAGCCGTGGAAGAATGAATCAGCACCTGCAGCTAGAGAGCATCAAGGTTCAAATCAAAAGTCTGCATGAAGAACCATTCAAGACTCAAGATCAAGCTTCAGAAGACTTATAGATAGGAAATCTTGTAACTCGTAGCTGATAGGCTTGTTTAGTTCTTTTAGATTTTGATTTTGATGTAATAACAGGACCGCAAACCGGAACCTCGACGGAACGGAACCTCGCTCGACTCTCTCATACTCTCCACACACTCCAGCGCTATTATCACTTATGAATTACACGTGGCATGATTCCTTTATAGCCAAGGATATGTAGGCAGCTCAGATACCAGACCTCGGTCACATTCTCCTTTCTTCTAGCTTTTGGTCCCTCTAAATAAGGGTCGGGTCAAAAAACCTGTCTCGTCGTTCTTTGTCTGAAAACTCTTCGTGTTTCCAGTCAAAGAGGGGTAGCTGTAGAAATGTAATTCTTGACCCTCCCCGAGATTTTACACATTTTAACGTTTAAATACTTAGTTTAGGTCTAATATCGCCATTTCAACTAGTTTTGACTCTTTTATTTTATTTTATCACAAAAATAAAAATTTCAAAAATATTTTCTTTTATTTAGCTAATTGATATTTTATCTAGTTACTTTTAGTTTATCCACCTTTCATAAAATTAAGAAAATAAAAAAATAGTATTGATATTTTATTTTTTCAGAAAAAAGACAAAAGAAAAATTTTGGACTAATTTTGTCTTGTTTTATGTGAGAAGACCATTATCTTGAGCTTGAGTTGGCCCAAAAGAGGCCCAAAACTTAACCAATTCACCTAGCCCACTACCCGAAACCCAATATCCCCTCATTTCTAAAATACACCCTAATTTCCTCTATATAAAGGATGAGACCTAATCTTAATTCTGGGACACACCTACACCTAGATACAGCAGCTGCCAACCTTCTTCTCCTTCCTAACAAAACACCATGGCTGAAACTTGCCTTCCTCCTCCAAAATTCAGCCATTAAAACTCACCTAAAGCTTCCGTGGGAATGATCCAAAACAATGCTATAAACCAGCTGCGCCAAACGACAAAAACAGCCATGAAAAGCAGTTCTTTAGCCCCATAAATAACGCCAAAAACCAGTCAAAACTCAGCAGCTTTTTAGCCCTTAAATTACCCCAAACCAGCCCACTTTTCGTCCATTTTTACTCCCAAAACCAGCACCAAAAACCAGTCTTTTTCACGCCCCAAAACCACCCTAAACCACCGTGAAACACCCCCTAAAATTCGAACTCAAACCAGCCACCATCCTCCATCAAAACCAGCTGTAAATCCCTCCTATACTAGCTGAAAAATACCATGAAAAGCAACTCCAAGATAACTCCAGAGGTTGAGATTTAGCTATGGTCGTTCGAGGTTGCCGTTCGAATTTCCGGTCAAAGGCGTTCAAGCTATTTTGTTGTTCGTCGCTCAAGTTTTTGTCCGCTTTACTCTACTGTAAATCTCACTTGGAGTTTTCCACTTGATCAAGTCATGGAAAATTATTTGACTTAAAGGTCCACTCTCTCGTTACTACACCTTTTATTTTGCTAATTTGTATGATGTTTCGTCTGTTTCTTGTGATAGAAAGCATGAGCAGTAGCTTTAGTTTATTTTAATTTGTTATTGTGGAATTATTTCAAAAATACTTCCACATTCTGTTAGTAGTCCATGGTTTCATATAGCTGATCTTTGATTTTGTTATTTAGTTAAGTATACATGGATAAATAATTTGGGGTTGGATACAGGTTTGCATTTTTCCACGTGAATTTATTATCCATAATTCAATAGCTTCACCAATAATCTCAAATAAAGGAAAGATCAACTTATGAATATGCGTAGAATACTTTAGGTGTGTTCTAAATCTGTTATCGTGATTGTGTACACATTCGCGTGACATATGTGTGATTTCTAGAAAATGAATATTCGTGGAATGATTTTAGGCACCCTCCTAATCGACTATCGTGATTGTGTACACGTCCGCGTGACATGATTACGATTTCTAAAATGAATCAAGGTACGCGTTCGCGCGACTTTGGCCAAATAATTTTAATAATAATAAAGTGGTATTAATTGTGTACACGTACGCGTGACATGATTCTTGACGCGCAAAACGAAATGAGTACATGTGCGCGTGACTCATTTTAAGATAATTCCATAATCACGAATTATCGAGTAATTAGAAAGCGGTAAAAGGTAAAATGCACATAGGTCCTAAAACATGTAATTGAACAATTTAATTAAGCCAGGTATAATTAAAGCGACCGTGCTAAAAGCACAAAATCCGGGAGTGCCTAACACCTTCTCCCGGGTTAACAGAATTCCTTACCCGGTCTTCTGTGTTCGCAGACCATAAATAAGAGTCAATTTTCTCGATTTGGGATTTAAAATAAACCGGTGACTTGGGACACCATAAATTATTCCAAGTGGCGACTCTGATTAAATAAATAATCTCATTTCGATTATTGTCACTTTAATTGGAAAAACTCCATATCCCTCCCGGAAAAAAGGAGGTGTGACANCCCCGGGAAAAAGGAGGTGTGATAGCAGTCATTGTTCATGCATTAAAGATTTGGAGACACTGTCTCTACGACGTGTCTTGTGAAGTGTTTGCAGATCATCGGAGTCTCCAGCACTTGTTCAAACAAAAGGATTTAAATTTGAGGCAGCGCAGATAGTTGGAGCTGCTAAAGGTTTATGATATTACTATTTTGTATCATTCGGGGAGGGCCAATGTTGTGGCTGATGCTCTCAGTAAAAAGGTGGTGCGTATGGGTAGTCTTGCATTTATTCCTGTTGGTGAGAGACCATTTGCAACAGATGTTCAGGCCTTAGCCAATCAGTTCGTGAGGTTAGATATTTCGAAACTCGTTCAGGTTCTAGCATGTGTAGTTTCTTTGTCTTTATAGCGCCACTATGATGATCCCCATTTTCTTGTCCTTAAGGACACAGTTCAGCACGGTGATGCCAAAGATGTCACTATCGGAGATGATGGGGTGTTGAGGATGCGGGGTTGGATTTGTGTACCCAATGTAGATGGGCTGCGTAAGTTGATTATTGAGGAGGCCCATAATTCATGATATTCTATTCATCCAGGTGCCGCAAAGTTGTACCAAGACTTGAGGCAGCACTATCAGTGGAGGAGAATAAAGAAAGATATAGTGGGTTCGTAGCTCGGTGCCTAAATTGTCAACAGGTGAAGTACGAGCATCAGAGGCCGAGCGCACAGCTTCAGAGACTTTAGATTCCGTAGTGGAAATGGGAGCGTGTCACCATGGACTTCGTGGTTGGACACTCACAGACTTTGTGGAAGTTTGATGCTATTTGGGTGATTGTGGATTGGTTGACCAAGTCCGTGCAATTTTTTCCAATTGGGACTACTTATTCTTCAGAGCGGTTGGCTGAGATTTATATCCGCGAGATTGTTCGCCTTCATGGTGAGCCAGTGTCCATAATTTTAGATTGAGGCACGCAGTTTACATGCATGTTTTCGAGAGCAGTGCAGCGAGAGTTAGGCACACAGGTTCAGCTGAGTATGGCATTTCACCCTCATAAGGACTGACAGTCCGAACGTAGTATTCAGATATTAGACGATATGTTACGTGCTTGTGTTATAGATTCCGGGGGTTCTTGGGATTAGTTTCTACTGCTTGCAGAGATTACCTGCAACAATAGTTACCAATCGAGCATTCAGATTGCTCCGTATGAGGATTTGTATGGGAGACGGTGTTGGTCTCCGGTGGGTTGGTTTGAGACGGGTGAGACTAGGCTATTGGGTACTGATTTGGTTCAGGATGCTTTGGAAAAGGTTAAATTGATTCAGGATCGACTTCGCACGGCGTAGGCTAGACAGAAGAGTTATGCCGACCGGAAGGTTTGTGATGTTGCTTACATGGTGGGAGAGAAGGTACTACTCCGAGTTTCACCTATGAAGGGTGTGATGACGTTCGAGAAGAAAGGCAAGTTGAGCTCTCGGTATATTGGACCTTTCGAGGTACTTGGAGAGTTGGGGAGGTGGCTTACAAGCTTGCATTACCGCCCAGTCTATCAGGTGTTCATCCAGTATTTCATGTATCCATGCTCCAGAAGTATGTCGAAGATCCGTCTCATGTTTTGGATTTCAACACGATTTAGTTAGATGGTGATTTGACCTATGATGTGGAGCCGGTGGCTATTTCGAACCGACAGGTTCGAATTGAGGTCCAAGTACATAGCTTCAGTAAAAGTATCGTAGAGGGGACAACCAGTCGGGAGGCTATCTGGGAGACCGAACGGGAGACGCGGTGCAGATATCCACGCCTATTTGAGACTTTAGGTTTGATTCTAAACCCGTTCATGGACGAACGTTTGTCTAAGAAGGGGAGAATGTAACGACCCGACCAGTTGTTTCGAGTATTACAACTTTTTTCCCCATTTAATGCTTTTCCCATTCTCAATTATTGTTATGTGACTTGGCGGGGTAGTTGGTTTAGTTTTGGGAATGTTTCGAATGAGTTGAGACACTTGGTCTCAAGGTTGGAAGCTTAAGTAAAAAAGGTTGACCGGATGTTGACTTATGTGTAAACGACCCCGAAATGGAATTTGATGGTTCAAATAGCTCCGTATGGTGATTTTGAACTTAGTGTGTCCGGATATTTATTTTGGCACATGTAGTTGAATTTTGCTTGAAATGGCAAAAGTAAGAAATGGAAGGTCTGGAAGTTTGACCCGGTGTTGTCTTTATTGATATCGAGGTGGGAATCCGATTTCAGAAGTTGGAATAGGTCTGTTGTGTCATTCATTACTTGTGTGCAAAATATGAGGTCAATCGAAATTGATTTGATAGGTTTCGGCATCGAACGTAGAAGTTGGAATTCATTAGTTTTGGTTAGGCTTGAATTGGGTGCGATTCGTATTTTTGATATTTTTTAATGTGATTTGAGGCATCGAGCAAGTTCGTGTTGTGTTTTAGGACTTGTAGGTATATTTGGTTGAGGTCATGGGGGCCTCGAGTGGATTCTGGATGGTTAGCGGATCAAATTTGGACTTAAAACAACTGCTGGAACTTTTGGCGCTGGTGTGATCGCACATGTGAAACTATTGATCGCAGCTGCGAAGCCGCATGTGCGCACAAGCCATCGCAGAAGCGGCCACCAGTGGGATTGGGAAGTATGCACCGGTGCGAAGCTTTTGCCACATCTGCGAGGTCATAGAAGCGACTAGTCGATCGCAGGGAAAGATGAGGGGCACATGCGGCCAAGTGTGTCGGATGCAAAATTGCTGGGCAGTATACATTGCGAAGGGTCCGAGATTTTTCTCTTTTTTGAACCTTTCAAACACGGTTTAGCGCAATTTCTGAGCGAGATTTCACGGGATTTCTTTAGGTAAGTCATATATGACCGTTTTTAGTCAATAATATTGAATTATCTTTAGATATTCCGACTAGTTACGTGATTTGAGGTGTAATTCGAGAATTTTGGCCTAGGGATTTGAAAATAAGATTTGAGGATTTGGAGGTCGAGTTGATGTCAGAATTTGGTAAATTTGGTATGGTTGGACTCGTGGTTGAATGAGAGTTCATATTTTGTAACTTTTTTCGGGTTCCAAGATGCGGTGCCCATGGTTGACTTTTTAGATTTTTTTTGGAAACTTAGCAATTTCGAATGGAAATTATTACTATAATTTGTATTGAGTATATTGCATTGTTTGTGACTAGATTCGAGATGTTTTGAAGCCGAATCGCGAAGAAAAGGCATAGTTGAATAAAGAATTGCACGATTTGAGATAAGTAATACTTTTAAACTTGGTTCTGAGGGTATGAACCCCTGAATTATGTGTTATATGATTGGTATGGAGTTGACGTAGATGCTAGGTGATCGGCCTATGGGCGTGCACCGTATAAATTGTGACTTAAATGATTCTGTGGAGCTATGAAGTCAAATAATCTTGTCAGTTTTCCATATTTTCTCCACGTGTTATAGAGATGTTAAGATCATGTTGAGACTATATGCCAGTATTTTTGAGACATGTAGAGGTCGTGTTGTTGTTAAATCATATGCTTAGATTTGCAATTTTGTACTCTGTCACATTCATCATTTGCATATCATATCTCAATCTTTGTTTCCATATATTGATCGACATATCATCATTGTTTGGGCTAATTATCATGATACATGTGAGCCCGAGAGACTAGAGAGATTAATGACTGAGTGAGGCTGAATGCCTGATTGTGAGGATATTTATAGGATCGGGCTGCACACCGCATCACGTTTTACTAATTCACGCCATGATCGGCTTATTACAATACTTGGGATAAAGGAGCGCCTTCGGAGTCTGCACACCCACAGTGAGCGCAGGTACCACTGAGTGCAAGTGCATAGCGCGAGTGCCGAGAGCGAGTGACGAGCGATTGGGAGGATTGAGTGACTGTGAGGTATGAGTGAGTCTGATGTATGAGTGACTGTGAGGATACACTGACTGTGAGGATTTAGTGACTGGGATGATTAAATGTGTTGATATTTTGAGAGCATGCATATGATTTTTTTCACTGTGTGGCTTTTATAGTTGGCATGTATAATTGACATATAGAGGTACAGATGTATCACCCTTCGTTTCAGTCACACTTGGCATATTCTATTTAATTGAGATTTACTGTTGAACTTGAAAGCATGCCTACATTTCTGTACTGTTATTTCTATAATTGGACTGTAACTGTTGAGCTCGTCACTACTTTCAGCCTAGAGGTTAGTTTTGTTACTTATTTAGTGCATTGGGTTGGTTGTACTCATACTACACTCTGCACTACGTGTGCAGATACAGGTACTTCCGGATACGGCGGCTGCTAAACTTTGGAAATTTATCTGTTGGAGACTATCAAGGTATATGCCTTGGCGTCCGCAGACCTTGACTCTCTTTCCTTTTAGTTATTTGTATTATTCTATATTTTTGGAAGTGCTTTCATCAGTTAGACTATATCGTCATTTAGATGTTCATGTACTCAGTGACACCGGGTTTTGGGAGCGTATTATCTTTAGATATGGTATTTTGTATCAGTATTTAAGATTAAGCTTATTTTATTATGTTTTCAAACATAAATAATGCGTGGTTTATTATGGATTTCAGCTTCCCTAGTATCACGAGAGGTGCCATCACGACAGGTGAGATTTGGGTCATGACACTTCAAGTCCGTCAATTTTTCAAGTTGAAGTTTTTAAGTCTGCTAATTTTTCAAGTTGAAGTTTAAAAGTCCATCGCTTTTCGAGTTAAAGCATCAAAGTCTGCCAAGTCTTCAAGTTCGTCAAATATTCAAGTTTATCAGTCTTCAAGTTGAAGTCCGCAAAGGCTTCAAAGTTTGTCAAGTGTTCAAGTCGAAGCCGTCAAGTCCACCAAGCCTTCAGGTTGAGGTGGACGTTTAAGTCCCTTTGCACCTTAAGTTGGCCTCTTCGTGTGTTTACCCTTTAAAGATATGTAATTTTCCAAGTTTAAGATGGACATTTGAGTCCCCTTGCACCTTAAGCCAATCTTGTTGCGAGTTGACCCTTCTATATGCTGTTGAGAATTTGTCCTTCTATATGGTGATGTGGATAAGTCCATCTATATGATGATGTGGATTTGTCATCTATTATTGTGATGTACATAGAAGGATCAACTCATAATGACTTGAAGATGTAGTCCTAAGTCATAGCTTTAAAGTTAGGAAACTCCATCACTTATTCACCAAGTTTCAGAAGAAGTTACTCCTCGCTAATGCCGCAAGGATGGAATATGGTTGGTCCAAGCCTATTTCTCACCAAGCCGCAAGACGCGCATGTACTTCTTTCTCAAGCTGAAAAAAAGGAGATGAAATCATGTGCTTCTTCAAGAGAGGTGGATATACAACCTAGTCTCTCGGCGAGGTCACAAACTGAAAAAGGAAAGCACCTCTCACCAGAGGATGAACTTTCAAAGCAAGAACTTCGGTGTACGAATTTTGCTTGCCGTCAACGATCTCAAGGTATGGGTATGGCATATCATGACTGAAGTGTATCTTTGCTGACGGGGTTCAAGGCTCTCTACGCTTTTATAATCTGCAAAAAAAGAAGAAAAAAAAAGAGCTCATCAAAACACGAAAAACTGATGACGAGCTAGCACGACAGATTTCGTTGGCCGACTTCAAGAAAATATATGGGGAGATATAGGGATAGTTTGATTGTAATTTTTGTATATGTTGTAGCTCTGGAAGTCTAATTTTCAACGCCGCAGAAGGCTCATGAGTTCGATATTCCTACGCCAAGATATAAACTTTTTTCTGAAGGCGCGCAATCTGAAAAGCTGAACGCGCGCGGCAGCATCTGAAACGAAATTCAAAACATTACCTGAGATGGTACGGAAGGATTTTTGCTCCGATTCTTGGATATGTTGCAGACCATTGTGTCTTGTTTCAGGAAATCAAGCGTCTTGCACTTTTGATGCTCCTACAGCGAGATATGAATTATTTTCCGCAAGCGCGCCAAGCTGTAAATCTAAAGCGCGAGGCTGGTACCTCAGCTTCGAAATTTTGTTCAGGCCAAACCGGAAGGTATTTGGCTCTAAGTTTTGATTATGTTGAACATCTTTGAGTTGTGGTTCTGTAAAATCAAGAATCTCAAAATTTAGAGACTCCTAGCTTAAGTTATGAAAATTGCGGTGAAAGTATGCAAAACTGGAATGCTACCTGGTCAGACGTCTCGATCAACTTTGAAAAAAAATTGCACCGGTCTATCAACATGGAGTTTGAACCGAAATTTAAATATGTTGAAGTTTTGGATGTCTAATTTTGCAGAAACACAAATCATTTGTGATTTAGAGGCTCCAACCTCAAGTTATGGCTTATTCCGCGGGAGTGCACGAAGCTGCAAAACAAACAGGTCGGGCTTAACTTAAGTTACTCTGTACCAATGGGGGAGGAATTTCATGCTGAAACTTCGATATGTTAATGTCGCGAAAGTCTAGTTTCTGCAATAATCATGTTGCTGACAATTACATCTTCCCTACATTGCGAAACAAATATTTTTGGAAAGTGCAAAGAGGACGTGCCGAGCGGTTCGTCGCCATTCATGCGGACATCACCTGCTTCTAATATCAAGACCAGATGCTATCTTGAGTCCTATTTTTTGAAAGCTAGAAGTCATATCTTGACTTATACTGTCACGATCCGGAATTTCCACCCTCGGGATTGTGATGACGCCTAACATTTTGTTTGCTAGGCAAGCCAATGTTAGAATAATTTTAGCATTGTTAACAATTCAATTTAAATAATAATAATAAAGAAACCAAATAACTGGAATAAATCTTGAATTTGAGTGAATAAACCAAAATAATAGTGATGTCTAAATACCATCCCAAAACTGGTGTCACAAGTGCACGAGCTACTAGAATAATACAGATAAAGGTTTGAATTGTTTGAAAGAAAATACACAACTAAGATAAAGTAGAAGGGGACTTCAGAGCTGCGGATGTCGTGCAGCTCTACCTCAAGTCTCCTCTGGGTAGTTGAATCCGAGCAAATCTACGGTACGCCGTTGGGACCACTCCGGTATCTACACAAGAAGTGCAGAGTGTGGTATGAGTACAACCAACCTCATGTACTCTGTAAGTGTCGAGCCTAACCTCGACGAAGTAGTGACGAGGCTAAGACTGATTGCTTACATCAGTAATAATAATAACAGAAAGACAGGAATAAAGGTAAAGCAGGTAACTCCTATCAGCTAACTCAAATTAACCAGCAGAAAATTTCGAATAACTAGTCATAAAGCTTATCTCAACAATCGAGGCCAATTCAGCAGTCACAATTAATTATTACTTTTATCAATATATTGCGGCATGCAACCCGATCCCACAATATAATATTTTAATCAATTCTGTTGCGACGTGCAACCCGATCCCACAAGATAATCAATTATTCAATTCTGTTGCAGCGTGCACTCCGATCCTACAATATAATCATTAATAAATCTGTTGTGGCGCGCAATTCGACCCTTCCATATAATCATTTATTAATATCATAATCCATCCTTATTACGCCTTTTCAATTTACTTTCATTTATGCGGCAGATAATACCAGATACAGTAAAGAAGTGAATAAATATAAAACATAGTAAATATATGAAGTAAACATACATAAAATACGGGGTACAATTCTCCTCTTTATAATTTTACTCAAGCTCTCAACTAGAAAGTTTCCTCCGTAATCGGAACATATTTATATATAGATATAGTGGATATCATCAAGAGGTTGTCATAATCCAAATCAGGGAAACCCCTAAGATACGCCGGCTTCTAGCAAAATGTTAGGCACGATTCCATGAGAATATATATATATATATATATATATATATATATATATATATATATATATATATATATATAGATGCATCTATTTAACCTGCAGAGCAAACGGCCCACTCCCATGAGAGTGTAATACATAAATCCTGCCAAGGCGAACGACCCGATCCCATAAGAGTAGTAGAGGAAATACCCCGCTCGCAAATCATACGTGCGACGCGGTCAAACATAAATTTAACATTAAAATCATATCTCTTTCTTGATTCTTTTCAAAATAAGGGAAATTCAGCTTGTAGCCTTTTTAAGTAAATTACTCCGCATGCGAAACATACATGCGACGCGATTACACAAAGATTTCTTAAGCTATTATAATATTCCTCAATTCCTTTTGAAATTACGAAGTTCAAATGAAACCTTTTAAGTCTTATATTCTTCAATTTCACTCCTTTCAAAATATTTAATAAGCAAACTCAATCTCGCTCCCTCTCAAGGCAAGCAATAAAAACAAATCAATAACAATATCAACAAGGCATGATGTGAGCCTAAAACTACCCGGACATAGGCATAGCTAGTAGCTACGTACAGACGCTCGTCACCTCATGCGTACGTAGCCACCACAAATAGAAGCACACAATAATTTAGTTCACCTATGGGATTAATTCCCTCTTACAAGGTTGAAAGGAGACTTACCTCGCTCCGAAGTTCCATAACTGGCTCCCAAGCCCTTCCGAAGACTCAAACTGATGCCCAACGCTCCAAAACTAGTCAATAATTATGCAAACTCATTAATACATACTCAAATATTCATTACAATCCTATTTACAACAATTTCTAACTCCGCTTGAAAAGTCGATAAAATCACCCTCGGGTCCACATGCCCGGATTCCAAAAAATTTCGAAGATAAACTTTACCCATAACCTCACGAACCCAAATATATAATTTATTTCCAATTCCATGTCCAATTTCGTGATCAAAATCTAAGAATACCAATTTCAAGGTTTTTCTTCAAAACCCCAAATTTTTACTAATTTCCATGTTAAAATCTATACATAATCAGTGCATTTAACTCATAATAGGTGGGGATAGCTTACCTTGCCATTGATGATGGAAACCCTCTCTTGAAACCCTCCAAGAATCGCCCAAACCAAGAAAAAATGAAAGAAAATGGGCCAAATCCTGCCATTTAAATAAACACACTGCCAGTGATTCTTTGCACCTGCGGTCACTTGACCGCTTTTGCGGTTCCGCAGGTGCGGACAAAATACCGTTGCTGTGGTCCTCCACCAGACCCCTCGATTCCGCATCTGCAATCGCCATGTGCTTCTGCGCCTTCGCTTCTGTGGCTCCTCGCGCGCAGGTGCGGTCCCGCTTCTGTTGAACTCAGCCGCATCTGCGGTCCCAGTCTTCTTCATCCTAAGCCGCTTATGCGTCTGATCACGCCCAACTATGTCTTCTAAAAGACAAAGCGGTCGTTGCAAATATAATTTGGTTTTAAGTTCGGAGTCGAATCCTCGGGGAACTAACGTATCTATTACAACTCTTGGCAATGATATTATCAACTCAAACAATTTCCAGATGCAAGATTTTTATCAATAAAGGTTGGGTTTTTGTTTAACTACTTCAAATGATATTAAAAATAACAATATGCTAATTCAAAGATAATCCAATAGTAAAAAAAGGTCTAGGGTATTGATTTCCCCAAGTGCTAGTTTAAGTCTTAACTCTTTTGCTATAATCTCGCCGTAATACTCTATGAGGATTATGAGCTATGGGTTATCGTAATTATCTCTCGATCAACTATGATAATTTACTAGAGCATTCTCTCGAACTACTCTAGCTGACAATTTGTGCAGCTCTGAACTATCCTACCAAAGTTTCGTTATCTCTAACCCCACTTTTAAGTTCAAGTAATGAATCTCTTCAATTACCCAAAAGTGGTGTTGTTCAACAACAGTCTAACCTAATATTCTTTCTCAAGCAACATAAGGCAATTAGACACGATTAATCAAGGGCCCATTCAATTAATCACCATACAAAACGTAGTTGAACAATCATATAATAAATCCGGCTCGATTATAATAAAGTTGAGTCAAAACTTCATCCAACAATTGGTTCCATCAACCCTAGATCAAATATTTAGCTATTCATAACAAAGCAAGAGAAAACTACTAAAGTGTTCATAATTTGAAATTGCAATAATAAAGAGAAGATAGAAAAACTCTAATGTTTGGTTGATCTTCTCACACTTGTTTTTGCCTCCAAGGTAGT